CCCCACACACACATTATCCAAGTATGAGCAAAAGCCACCGCTAACATATACACACAAAATTCTCCCATTGACGTTTTATGCAAACAGGGTGATCCCCAAAAAACTGTAAAACTTTTTATCTGAATATCTCGCACAAAAATTGTTCTAGGATGTTGTAATTTGGAAGAGACATAATTCATTCAAAAGGAATTTGTTTGATATAAAATCCATGAAAAAGAAACTTATTTTGAAAGCGAAAATGGCTTTTAAAGAAAAAAGCACCCCCAAAACGCAAAGTTTTCCAATTTTTTAAAAATCTTGTAAAGGAAGTCGTGAAACGATTGGTTGACCTTTTTCTTTATTTTCTCTTTGACAATTAATTTTCCATCCCTATAAAATTTAAACAATATTTAATTTCTTTTACAGAGTTTAAAAAACTAACGATTTCATTCTGGAACTCCTAAAAGCAGTGCTTTACATGCCCTCCTTTGGACTTGACACATTTTCAATGCGTCATTCGAAATGTTCAATGGCGCCCAAACATTAGCCACGTACACTGTACATATATTCAGTATGAGGTGGCTTCTAGAGACGATAGAGAGTGGGAAGCCCAATAGACAGCAATTTTTGGAATTAACATATCCAGCAGGGTGAAAATGGGCTTTGCACTAAACCAAAGTATGTCATCGAGGAAATGACCCCGCTTTTCAAGACAATCGAGGAATCATGAACACATTGCCATGCCCTAATCCATGTTATCTTGGCCTAGCGAAGATGAAAATGGTACAGTTGTAGGTTAAGATCTGCCATTAGATTGCAGACTGTTGAGGTGCAGGAAAGTCTAAGCTGCAGATCGTCTACGGACAGACGTCTCATGGGACTCGACTATTGAAATCCGCACCCAGGCAACGTTTAAAGAGCTGCGCATGGTGCGTGTTCGACCTGTAGTGGTCATTTTGAAAGGAACATTTTAGTTGTGATTCGCTATAGTTCCAAGCTGACGGAACTTCTCTACTCATGACACCAAAGGTCTTGAGGACACATAAACATTTTTTCCTTACGTGAGCAGAACATACGAAATGTAAGGGATTGTGAGCTTGTGGAGATGTAATGTCCAACACAAAAAGCTCTTTGTACTTTACTAAACTTCACCGCGATCTCAGAAGGCAAACAAAATTTGGGTAAAATAATATATGCAGACTTCTGTTAACTTGTTACACTGCTGTAGCTTGCAATATGGCGCGATTGTTAAACCTTTTAGTGGTATGCCTAATGCGAACTGATGCGTCACGCTACGAAAATTGGGACACGCTTGAAAATGGGTTGTCTTTTTTTTATAATGCGCCTTATAGAGCAAAACAATTCCATGGATTTATCTAAAATGAATATCTGACAAATTTCTTTTGGCTTACTAATACATGTATTATGTCAAATCTGAAACGCAAAACTTTAGTTTAGAGGAAGATATTTACAAAACAAGTTGCATAGTTTTTTTTAATCCCCCTGTAAGGCGAACAAAACAGTTGCACTTTGAGAGTTTTTTAACTGGTCATGTCCATTTTCAGTCCACTTTCATCAACCGTCCAGCACTCGGCAGCTACCCACCAGCTGACTTCGTGGACAGACTCCTCAAGACTTTGCTCTCAGTAAGTTTTACCAGTTTACAGCCAAAGTATGACTTAAGCAAACACGAAACTTTTTTATGATTTGGAGGAGGGGGCAAAATTAAAACCAGAACCACC